CCAGTCGTTAAAAAAAAAAAAAAATTATTTCAATATTAGTTTAATACCTATTTGATTTTTTTTTTTTTAACCCTTGTCGTCAACTCAGGTACCTCTTATTACCTTTTTGCCAGTTTTCTGGTGTTTCTTCAGGATACAGAAGTGATGATGGTCAGTCCTAACTATTCATATTAGGCCTAAGCCTCTAAGTATAGATGGTGGAAGTGAAAAGTTGCTATTTCAAGGCAAGCAAACCTTTGCTATTATGTCAGAATATCATTGTCTGCAACTACCACTACAGTATTTCAACTGTTCAGTTTAGCCAAAACTTACTAGAATTTAGTCAATGAGATATCATTAGCAGGATAAGGGTACACCAGTACATCAAATTTGTCTGAAAATCAGACACAGCCTTACCCATTTTAATTTAACCTAGTAACACATGTGGAGGGTTACATTTTATGGGGTTATGTAATCAATCATCACAAGTGTACCCCTTAGGATAAAACATCCCGTAATACAAGCAACCTTCTGCACCCCCGACTAGATCCTCGCTACCATTGGACATGTAAAACTTTTTACTGATAGTTGTGTGACTAATAGTTTTGGCCGTTTATACCTTTCCTTCCACTACTGGAAGGATCCTATGAAACTTCTTTCCCCTTTTGGAGGTATTTCCTAGGCAATACTTGATCAGAAAGTTTATCAATCAGATCATCTATCTTTTTGACCTATGGGGTGTAGTCTACCCATAAGGCTCCTTGATCACCAGAACAACTTAAATTATTCTCTATTACGAGTTACAGAAGCAGTGATACAAAGTTCCATTTTTAGGATATGTGAATTGTCCCAGCTGGGGTTGAACTGTGATTCATAGGTTAGCCCTATCCTGCCTTAGCCCACTGGACTATGACTAGGTAGGTCAATTTAATACCTATTTGATATTTTTTGAAGTTTTAATTATATATTTATTATATTTTTTAATAATTAATATAAATAATATATATTTTTTTTTGACCTGTGGATATATAGCACAGTGGTTAGTGTTCCACAGGTCAAATTACAAGATACTGGTTCAACTCCAGGTGAAGGCAATTGAATAGAATTAATATGGTACCTGGTGTCGTAACTTGAAATACACTGTTTCTCATAGGAAGTCGACTCACATACTGATCCAGTAGACGTTGAGATTGTGATTTTCAAAGAAGGTGATATGGCATGATGATTGTCCAGTTGGTACATGATAATCATTGGTAAAACAGGACGTACCAAACGTTTAGATTTACAGATAGGGCTGTATTCTATCCTAACCAATCCCATACGACAATCAACCAATGATAGTTGGATCCCTAGTTTAGGATATCTCAATCCAGTGCAGAGCTTAAAAGAGTAACACCTGCCGCAGGTGGTGAGAAGGGTCATGACTTGTGTAAGCCCAGAATTGGTACAAGTGGTAATTTGAGGTTCAAGCGATAAGGCAAAAGGAGGTACTTGGACCAACTTCCGTAAGCATCATTCTTTCATTCACAAGCTAAATCTAGAATAGGTTAGATAGTTTAAAACTAGTAGTAGGATTTCTACCCCTATAGATTTGTTTCTCGGATCAAGATAACTAATTGTTAAGTGATAGGAGTCAGGATCCAGAGATATAAAGATGGGAAGGCATGGGTTAACTTAAATGGATTTTGTAGTACTGTACTGTTGGATATAAATTATTTAATAAAAGATTACGTGCTACTGCACCTTTCAACTTTAAAATAAAATAAATATATATATATATATATATATTTTTGATAACTAGTGTACATCTTGTTTTATTAGATATAAATTTATGATACATATGGTTTTCCCTTTATGGAAATTGACTACTACCTATCTACTTAATAAAACTATCTAGAGAAAGTTCTTATGACTTTATCTACCAGTTAGTTTATTGCTCTTTATTCTTCCTATATTATCAATACCAGAGTCCTGATAGCATAAGTAGAATGCTAATATGTCAGGATATATGCTTTTCAGTTCCACCTACTATCCAATAAATAGAAACTCAAAGAACTATATCCTAATACAATCAGTTGTAGACTAGCCATATTCAACAAGAAATCTTTGTGGCTCTAGCTTGATTTCTTTAAAAATTAGGTTGTTTCTTTTATAGTCTCGTGAACTAAAAAAGTAAGAAAGCGTGCTTCATGCATGAGAAATGAAGAAAGCATCAAACTTGACGATGATCATTGTAATACTGCTGGATGATCATTATACTACTACGCCTTTCTTGGTATCACAATTCTAACACCTGTTGAATCAACATATAAATTAGTTTCTTATAGGAAACAGTATATATTAGATTATAGTATCAGATATTATATTGAAACGGTTCAATTGCCTTTACCTGGAACTGAACTTGGTATCTTGTAATAGTAATCAGAAGATACTAATTCTTTTCTTCCAGTTTGAGATTCCACATTAGCTTTTTGAAGGATTTGAATCATTATCTTGTGATCTGACTTGCGAAGCACTAACCACTGTATTATAGATCTACAGGTTTTTAATATAAATAATATTTTTATAATAATTATTATTTATATATTTTATACTTAAATATTTATATTAACAAAATTTTTATTAATAAATAATAAAAAATTAAAATATAAAATATATTAAATAAAAATTTTATTATTGTTATTTTTTGTTATTTTTATAAAATATTTAATAAGTTAATATATTAATAATAGAAATTAAAAATTAACAAATAAACTAATAACAATTATAACAATTATAATAAAAAATAATATTAATTATATTTTATTATTTATATTAACAAGTATTAAAGAATTAAAATAATAAAATAATAAGCCAATTTAAAAATTTTCTTGAAAATATAATTTTATTTTTATAAAATTTAAAATTTATTTAATTTAATATTAGGTTTAAATAATAATATTTTTTATTTTTTTTTAAATAAATAAATATAATTGTTATTTAATTATATTTAGCATATTAATATTATTTTTCAATATTAATTAAATATAGAATTTCAAATTAATATTAAATAATAATATTAAAAATTCTAGTTATATATATTGTATAAAGTAAATTGGCATTTAACTTACTATTAATATATATATATAATTGTTTCTTGATATATAGTCAAACCTTGTTATAATAAAAAGATTAAAACTATAAGATATAAATTTTGAGAAATTTAGTATAACAAAATTCAATTAATAAATTTGATATAACAGGTTAAATTTGCTATAAATATTTCTGTCTTATCTTCAGTATAGTAAGTTTTTATTTAGTTCTTTGGCATAACAAAGCTTGGTATAAGGAGGTTTAACTGTATATATTGTTATATACAAATCAAATAAAAAAATAATATTTACCTATTAAAAAAAAAATAATAATAATAATTTTTACTTATAAAAAAAAAAAACTAATTAATTATATTTAAATTATATTTTTTATAATAATTTATTATAAATATGTAAATTTACATTTTTATAATTAAAAAATAAACAATTAATAAGGTTTGAACAGAAACTATAAACAGAATGCCATATTATTTGCTAAAACCATAAAATTGTATAAATTACGTGTGTAACTTGGAATAATTATCGTCATTACTTTTTTATTCTCGTAATGTCTAGTCGCGGGAATCGTTTTCTACATCATCCTTCTGGTACACATTGGAGGCCAGTTCCTATTCGACCACCGGCTCCTACTAATCCAGTATTTATAAACGCGTTTCCGAACTACGAAAGTGATAGTGATAGTGATAGACCAAGACCCTATGATGTGATATTTGATAGTTCTTCAACTTCACCTGCTGCAAGTACGTCCAGTCATTCACCACAAGAGACGCCGGAGATACCAATACATGGAAGAATAGATATAACACCTATTATAAATGATATGGAATCGACTAATCCAACAGGTTGCCTAATCTATATAGTTTTTTTCTAGTCGCAATTATTTTTAATAGAAATTCTTTTAGAATCAAATAGCGTAGAGATATCAGGTATTCAAGATTTGCACGTAACTACTAATTCTTCAGAAAGCCAAAGCTATATCTTCGACGAAGAGAACGAAACCGCATTGCAAGAACAGGTTGAAGATGGTATGTGTTCCAAAATATGTAACCAATTACGTGGAACAATTACTTTTTATTAAGTATCGAATTATTATTCAATAAGATCCTTTAAAGCAATACGTGACCAAACTACGTCAAATTGTGCAACAATTGGATGAAGACGCGTGGCAATTCATAAGTTTAGACAACGAATTTTCGAAATTCTGAATTCAAGTATTTCATCTTAGAATAGAAACTAGCTTATTAATTCAGTTTTTCTTTGATTTATTACACATAAATTCTCAAGAAACAGTTGATTAAGGAAGAAGTAAAGACTGAGTTTATAAAAAAAATTAAAACTAATAATAAATCAAATATGTAAACTAGAAGCTTCAAGGAATTGTAAGTATGCAGTGATTTTATGAAGTGTAGAAACCACTTAGGTAATTAATAGTTGGTTTGCAACCTTTATTGTACATTTACAAGCAAGTCTCTTATAATTTTTAATTAATACAATAATTGAAAACGGTTATTAAATTGATAATTCTAATTTTGAGTTTTAATTATTAAATAAAATAAATAATATTTAGATTACAAAAATAATTAAATATATGAAGCTTAAAAGACATTTTTTTTTAAATGCTAACTTAGTCTTGCTTTATTAAAAATTAGAAATTTAATTGTTAATTCATTTAAATAAAAAAGTAAGTTTATATATAATATCCATTTTAATAGCAATAAATAAAACAAAATACTATTATTATTATTATATATTTAACTAATTTTTTTAAATATATATTGTATATTTTAATTAAGATTTTTTTCAATTTCAGATAGTATGCATTTTATATTTATTATCATTAAATTTCTTAATCTTTACAAGCCGTGTACTACATACACTTCAAATAGCACCTAACGTAAAATTTAAAATTTGCTTTTATGTGCTATCCTATAACATGAGTTCTCAACACTTTATTCCTCCTTTGGTATGTTTTTGATTAGAAATTGTAGGGAATGAACATTTTTCTCGTTTAATATTCCATAAATTGCACATATAGAATTATGGTATGATAGAAGAGGACTTGTATAGATCGGGTCAACCAAACGAACTTAATTTCCCCTTTTTAGAAAAACTTGGGTTGAAAACTGTTGTATGGTTGGCGCCTGAAGAACCAAATCAAAGGTTGTACGTATCATATTCCAAACTGATGTAATAAGTACATTGATAGCTAATGTCCCTAAGATTTAAAATTAATCTTCGAGAAAATGTAATTGAATCAACCTTTTTCGTATTTGATCATATCCAGTCTAAATTTTATCGATGATCAGGATATTGAATGGTACCATCTTGGGGTGATTTCTTCGGCAAACGCTTTGGATCCGATTACTGAAGAGGTCGTATTAGAAGCTTTAGAACATATTCTAAATCCACGTAATTATCCAATGATTGTAATGTGTGATCTGGGAAGACATCGGACAGGTATTAAAGATTTCATGTGAACAACAGTTAACTATAAGAAAGACAACCATTAATAGTAACTGTACTAAATAAATATAGGTACAATTGTAGGATGTTTGCGTAAACTCCAAAAATGGAATTTAACATCAATTTTTGAAGAATACCGTCGATATGCAGGGCCTAAAGTCAGAGTCTTAAATGAGCAATTTATTGAACTTTTCGACACGGATTTGGTTAGAGTTCCAGTGAACAGACCTAAATGGCTATGAAAATTATAATTTTCTATGCTAACATTACTCTAGATTGTATAGACTTATGGAACATAAGACACGTATAACTGTATACTTTCTGTAATTATATTAGTGTGCTAGCAGATTCATTTAATTTGTTAAAATCATTAGATTTAAAATAACTCTGTATTTCAATTGGTATTAATCTATTGGTAGAATAAAAAATATACCAAGTATAGAAACGAAAACACCTGTTCTCTTCCAATGCTTAAAGATCATAACCAGAAGAAAGAATATCAATATATGATGAGGGTCTATTAAAAAGGAGTCATGGTTCTACCTGTTACCCTTGAGATGTTCATTCGTGATGATAATTTAAATTTTATAGTAAATATGTAAATAGACTAGGAGCTAAATTGAAATGTGGGGAAGGTCAAAGAGAAGAAAAAAGAAAAATAAAGATAATCAAAGAGAAAAACAAAGGGCACAGAGCATGGAAGCAAAGGTATCAAAATAGTAACATACCAGAAGTAAAAAAAAATAAGCGCTAACAGAACATACTATAATATAATAAACGTTGCAATAAAAAGCCTAGAACTGTAGAAATATTTTGATATATTGCAAGAGGTTGATTGGATGCCTCTTGCGAATGCCGGTTCTTTTTGTTTATTCTGAGGCGGCAGCGACTTCTTTCTTCTCATCGGCAGAAGTAGTAGGTGCTTCCACCTTCTCAGCATCACCACCTGATCGAATATGATGACCGCTCAATGCAACTTTAATGACTAACTCTCTACCTTCAGAATCGACGTTCTTCAACCCTTCAAGAGCTCTCGTTTGTTCATCTTCATTGGCTAAATCGACAAATCCGAAACCCTTGGAACGTCCACCACGACGACGAACAACGTGAGCGCTAACGACATCGTAATCTTTGAAGATCTCCTTCAGACCATTATCATCGACAGAGAAGGGAAGATTAGCAACAAACACTACCGTTTTAGAGGGTTCACCAGGTTTAGAATTTGCGACGGGACGACGACGGCGAGGATGACGACCTCCACGACCACGTCCGCGTCCACGTCCACGACGGCGGAAGCCTCCACGACTTCTAGAACTTTCATTTTCTGCATTTGATCCATTCGTGGTTGGAGCATCAGTGGCGTTAGCCGTAGTGGACTCATTGTTATCGGCATGAGCATCACCGCTTTCATCACCAGCGCGACCGCCAAACCGGCGACGGCTTTGCTATTATACAGATAAGTTATTAGAATAGCACAGTAGAATCACTATTCATCGCGAATTGTAAAATAAGTTTACCCAGCCATTGCGACCTCTACCCCTTCCACGGGCTCTCCCTCGTCCTCTACCCCTACGGAAACCATACCTCCCGCGTCCACGACGTGCACCAGAGTTCCAGTAGTTGTTACTAGGGGCAGTATTTTCCGTTTTTGGCTTAGCAACTTCAACATTGATTTGACGGCCATCCAAATCTTTCTTGTTGAGTTCTTCGACGACCTTATTGGCGTCTTCTTCGGTTTCAAGAGTAACAAAACCATAACCAAGAGAGCGTGTGCCACGAGTAATGATATTAGCATTCACACTGATTGATCAGTGGAGGTTGAATTTATGTCAGCAGATCAGATATCGATGCGTTAATACGTTAGATGCATCAAATCAATAGATGTATTCTATATTTAATGCTGATCAAATTCACAAAGAAGCCTTGGTTTCCACTTACACTTTGCCAGTCTTACTGAAAAAATCAGATAACTGCTGTTCACTAGTTTGAAAGGCTAAGTTTCCTACAAAGACCTTGCAGCGTGGCTCTTCTTCTTGAGCTTTTTCCTCCTCGGTATTGGTAGTTTCGGCCAAAGTATTATCGGTAGTAATTGCAGTCACTGTCTTCTCCTCTTCGGCCATTTTATCTAATTTTTATGCGTATATAAAAGCTTATAAACTAACTTTGCTGCTTTAAGTATTTTTTAATTATACCTCCGAAAAAGATTAGGGTCAGATGTAAATGATGTAACGTTCAGAAGGGTCGTTAAGAAAAATCGATCCCTTCAACCTCCAGTTAACTTGGTATTGGTGAAGGAATTCAAATAGGGATGCCTGTGAGGACTAGACGGACTGAAGGCTCCTTTGTTTTCAATAGGTCCACTAAAGGGCTAGGACGGATGGTAGGTTTAAGAACTTCGACGGATGGAACAGATGCTTCGTTTTGCTTTCAAGGATGGCTTGAGCAAGACTGTTATGCAATGAACAAATTTGCACCAAATTATAGCTTGTGTGACAGTTCATTCCGTGATGGCGCACAATTTTGCATTATACTTTTTAGAATCAAAGTTAGCCAAGAATCAGCCAGCCATAGTTGGCCAATTAAAACAAAAAAGACTTGAAATGGTCCTGTTTGAAAAATCTTTTCCTTATGAAGGACTGCATTCATACAAGCTTTCACATATGCTTGGTGATTCAGAATTCCTGTTAGAAGCCGAAATTATCACCATGTTTGAAATATGACCATTGTGAAACTACTACGGATGTACAGGGAAAATTTGATAATATTAAAAAAATCATTTATTGTATTAAATTTTATTACTTAAACTGTCGAAAAAAACTTAATCGTGTGTACGATCTACTGTATATAAAATCATATTATTATATTAAGACTTATTATATAATATTCAATATATAAAACACATTGATATTTTAAAAAAATTTTTTACTTTTAATAATAATAATATTATTATTTTAAAATATTGGTTCATTTAAATGTAAGCTTTTAAAATTAAATATATTGAATTTATAGAAAAATATTTTATTATAATTATTTACTTAATAAAAGCCATAATTGCTTGTTTAAAAAAATTTTTATTATAATTTTTTTAAATATAATAATTTTTAATAATAATTAAATACAAACATATAAATTAATAATGTAGTAAATAACATTCTTAAGTTTTTAAATATATATTTTTAATTCAATATTTATAAGAAACAAAAAAAAAATTATATATGTAAGTTAATTGATTTATATATATATCTATTATATTTAAATAATTAAATTATAATCAAATTAAAACTATATAAAAATAAAAATTTTAATCTTTTAATAATTACAAAATTGCAAATAGGTTAAAATAAAAAAAATTATATAAGAATAAGTTTTTATTTTAATTTTTAATAAAAATTCTACAAATTAAAATTGATATAACAAACTTTAAAATATTTTAATTTAAAATTATTTCAATTTGATATTTGTTTAAAAAAATAATAATATAATAAAAAAAAAAATTACTTATTATATAATTTAAAAACTATTTCTTAAATTGTAATGCAAACAAATTTGCTTAAATATTTAAAATTTTAATAAGTTTTTAAAAAAATTTGTTAAAATTTCAAATATTAATTTTTATAACTTATTTATATTATAAAAAATATAATTTAAGATATTTTTTATTAATTTTATTAAGTAAAAAATTAAAATTTTATTAGAAATTTTCAAAATAAATAACTTTAAACTTTGTATTTAAAATTTTGATATAAAAATTATATAAAATTTAATATATGTTTAAAATAAAAAAAATATTTTACTTTTAATATAAGTTAAAATTTTTATAATCAAATCATTAAAATTATAATAATTAAAGTTATTCTTTACAAATAATTCTATAAAACTGATTATGAATTATATAAACTTTAACTTAAAAAATTTTAAGTTTGTCTAAAATCAACTTTTATTAAAATTTTTTTTTAAAAATTAAAAATTTTGTTTATAATTAAACTTAAAATTTTTATTAAATAAATAAAAAATAAATATAGAAAGATCTCCTTAAATATATCTTTTATAAATACATATATTATATTTTCTCTCTTTAAATATATGATCAAGCTTGATTCCAAATACATAAAATTCTTAATAAAATTATTTTCATAAATACATACCATCTATAAATATATGTTTTTCAACAATTTTTCTATAATTCCAAGAAGTATGTATTTAAAAAAGATTCACTATACAATAAATAGATAATATTATACAAAAACTCTTTCCACTGATCCTTTTGCCAACCCCAAAAACAGACGTTTTCAAAAGATTTTTGTTTTTATGATAATAAAGTCTATACACTTTCCTTAAAAACAATACTGGTTTTAACCAGCCAAGC